ACACACACACATATATATATATATATATATATATATATATATATATATATATGGGCTAGAAAGACGGGCAAGGGAGAGGGAGTGGAAAGCCATTTTTGAGCACGCAAGCGCATCGGGTTGCTATGTCACGATTCTAGTGCATGCGTGAAAAGCCGTAAACGTCGGCCCCTCCAACAAGTGTATCCATTAAACTGCATAGCCGAGGATCTGCACAGAAGGATGGATGTTAAAAAGTGTTGCCTCTCTGTGGTCGTACGGGCGTTTCTCGATATAAAACGGCTCTTGAGAAATTTGATTTTATTGCTCACGACGTTCTTCCTGTCTCCTTAACCCCTCTCTTTCACCCACCCCTCTCCTCCTTCTCATCACCTACCATATCTCCTACCTCTGTATATAAATACACTCCCCTTCTTCCTCCCTATACACGCACGTACATGCAACAGTGAATTTTTTGTAAAATATCGAGACCCCGACTCAACGAGCTGAATCAAAATACTAACGAATATTTACATATTAATCATTCATCGCCTGTGTCTTTATTATTCGTATTAGATGAGTTGAACGAATCTTGTATTTTATATTTGATATTTTTATATTTGAAAGAAACATTTGCAATTTAAAACTCGGTATGGTGAATAATTTTTATACCGTATTTACAAGATTTCTTTTGACAATATATATTGCATACAGTATCCACGAAATTATACATTAACAGTTTTTGATAATAAATACTTTTGAGCCTTTTTTTTTATATAAACGTAAATTTATATTTACGTTTACGTGAATGCGAATCTCTTTAACAAGATAACTCATTCTAGTTTATATCGTTTATTTATCTACATTTTTTGATAAATTTATGATAAATTTCTGGAAATATTTTATAATTATGATGCAACGAAAACTTATTATTAGTTATTTTTTATCTGATAAACTTTATCTTATTTTTTTATTGACAAGATGGAATGTAAATGTATTTTCATATTATCTTGATAGATTCTATGAAAATTGTAAATAGAAAAATGAAAGTAGACAGCGCTGAAATAACTACACGAGTATTTGCTGGAAGTCGTGATTTCTTTTTCCTTTTAACTTTAGCGGACAAAATTTTTCCAACACTAGGCAGTCAAGTAAAAGTGCTGTAGTTAGAGAGATAAGTAATCTTTCTTATACATTAGAGTAAATAAATTTGTTTCCTTTAGGAAAACATCAACAATTTATATGCTTAATTTTATTTCATTTTACTGAGAATTGACGTACATTATAAATTATCCCTAATAATATGGTAAATTACAATTATTCTATATGTTGCGGAGCTGATTGAAAGTAATTGATGAAGAACGATTATTCAAATCATATATTTATAACTTAATATGTAGAATAAAAATATTGTTATTATTTAATTCAATTTTTATTTATGATGTAGAAATATATTGTTCCTTTTTTCGAGCAATAAATTCATTGATTTAAGTAAAATTTAGAAAAGTATAGCATTGACCGGTAGATTATTTTGAAGAATAAGTGATTTGTAAAACATGTCATAATTGCGTATCTTTAATAATTATCTATTCAATTACATTTATCGCTGTAAAATGCGTAATTTTTATATTTTTATACACCATTTTTATCGATACTTAAATTTATTATCTAATTTTATCGGTGTTATATTTATACAAATTGACGAATAGAAATTGACGTTTTAAAATTTTACCGTAATTGAAAATTTAATATTTCAGTTTGTGCAGAAAATGAGGGTAGTTTAAAAAAAATTATAAGTCTTTAGCGATATTTTGGTATAAGGCGCATCATAATACATCAATCAAAGGACTCAGTTTTTGTCACTTATTGTCGTATAACAATAATAATGTTCTGTATTATATAATAGTATAAGGAATTTTTATTCCGACAAAAACAAAACATTTTTCCTACAAATTTATCGTGTCGTATGTGAGATTATTAATTAGTATCGTGTTAATAATTTAATATTTCTCAA